CCCCCCACCCCCAAACATGTCAGGCGCTTGGAATTCACAGCTCTGATCAATAAGTTCTTGGTCGGCCCAACTTTTGGCCCTCACAGAATCCTCAACGCAAACTCAGGTACTAACCTGCAGAATACAATTTCGTGCCCTGCCTCCCACTTGATCTTTGCACCTCCAACACTTCTCCACACGACAGCTCTGATGCCTTCCCATAGTCCACCAACTTAAGACTCAACTGGTATGAATGTGAATGTCTCTCCTTCACTTATTCCTTTGAGCCAAGTGCTCTCCTTGCCTGCTCATAGGTTGTGAACCACAGTCCTTGCCCCCGTCTGCTCAATCCTTCCTGGGTTCAAATCCCACCAGTTCCTAGCTGTGTGACCCTGGGTAAGTAATTTAACCTCTACGTAGCTCAGGAATAAAGGAGGATTAAATGTATACGGTGGTGAAAGCCAGTTCTTCAAACACATTGCCAATACACATCAGCACTGACATCATCATCACCATCATCATCCATAGTCTATAGTTTGGGAACTTAATGAATATATTAGGCAACAACCAACCTAATAATAATAGTTACCATTATTAATGTAGTAACCATTCATATGAGAATAATAGCCATTATTATTAGGAATTATATTATATTATATTATATTATATTATATTATATTATATTATACTATTATTAGGCATCTCATTTAAATATCTGGGAGTTTCCAAGATATTTGATTTTCAAATTCCTAACAGGAATTTTACATTTACCTAAGGTGGAACTAATTAAAATATCATTTTCTTTTCATAAGAAAAGGTTTCATTTCTTCATTTCAAAGAAATACATTTCTTTTCAGCTAGAATGATAACTTTTGATTACCTTGCATAGCTCACTGATCAAAAGCTCTAAGCAGCAGTTACACAGTGTTTGCCTAACAAAGTCTGAGAAATAAGCTATTGTTTAATAATATGGTCTAATACTTTTAATTATTCATGTCCTGGAGTTCATAAAAACAAATAACTGAAGGGATCCTTCGTGGTGAAGCTGGGAAGCACTTTCCTAGTAAGAGGGAAGCACAGTAGTGTATACTCCTAAAGAAACAATCTTTGAACCAACCAACATGTCACACTGATTCCCCCCAAAATGGGCCTTGTAACAGCCTGGGCTATGTTGAAGTATCTCAAAGGCTATCTTTACAAAATCAATCAATCAAT